TATAACAGCTCTGCAGGCTAGTCTGGACGCATCTGACTCTGCAGCTTGCTGCATGTCCTCTGCCATCACTATGTGACAGTCTTCATTGTTGCAATCTTGTGGTCTCCTTTCGGAGGTACAACCAACAATCCAAGACCTTCCCTTTGGGCCGTCACTCTTCTTGGGAAAGACTGATGAGACCCTGAATAGTCTTCAGGACTCAAGAGTGATTCTGAAGTTTCTAGGGATTTATACACCAGTGGAAAAGAGTGTCCTTCCATCCACATCAGACCCAGCGATTTCCAGGGTTTGTTATTCAAGCCCAGGACCTACCGAGGAGGAGTAGAGGTTACAAAAGACATCCACCACCATCCTTTGCTTCTGCAGCTGCCAGTTCATCAAGGCAGGCTGCATCCTCCAAGAGCACGTTTTAACAGACTGGTCAAGGACAGAGTACCATATCCAAGAATGCCATCTTTCCCTTCCCCGCTTTTTGCAGACCACGCAGGGGTGGCTCTAGCTTTTTTGCCGCCCCAAGCACGGCAGGCAGGCTGCCTTCGGCGGCATGCCTGTGGGAAGTCTGCCGAATTGCCGCCGAATCTGCAGGACCGGCGGATCTCCCGCAAGCAAGCTGCTGAAGGCTGCCTGACTGCCGCCCTCGCAAGGACCAGCAGGCCGCCCCGTGCCCCTCCACCCCCACCCCATGGCTTGCCGCCCCAGGCACGTGCTTGGAGCGCTGGTGCCTGGAGCTGCTGCTGAGACCACCTATCCCACTTCCTTCATGCTTGGGCTCACATCACCAAAGATCAGTGGGTTCTAAGCACAGTGAAAGTGGGATACGTCCCTCAATTTGTCTATCCCATCCCTCCTCTGGGACCCTCTCTCATGAAGCCGTGTTGTTGAGACATTCAATTACTACTTCTTGTAGGAGCTATAGAAGTGGTCTCTCCATTGCTCAGGGTAAAGGGGTTTTACTCATGATACTTCAGGATCCTGAAAGCAAAGGGGGTATGTCAGGCCTATTTTAGATCTGAGAGCATTAAATGAGTTCCTACTGCAATCAAAATTACAGATGGTCACTCTAGCTTCCGGTACTCCTTCCTTGGAGCTGGGGACTGGAATGCTGCCCTTGATATAAAGGACACTTATTTCCCTGTGGCAATTTATCAGAGGCACAGAAAGTTTCTAAGCTTCACAGTCCTGCCCTTTTTTCGTCTGCCGCCTGTTGCTCCGGTATTCACAGTGCATGACAGTGGTAGCAGCATAACTGTGGAGATCAGAAGTCCATGTCTTCCCTTCCCTGGATGACTGGCTAATAAGAGGCTGTTGCAGGTGTTGTCCAGCGTAGACGTTATCCGGTCTACATTTAATGTGTTGGGCTTGCTGATAAACACAGATGTCTGTCCTGTCTCCAGTACAGAAAATAGAATTTGTTGGAGCAGTCCTGGAGTCCATGAGGGCCAGTGTCCTTTTTCCACTGGCAAGATTTCACATGATGGCAAGGCATTGTTTTAGACTTAGACCTATTCCCTCATTACAATAAGAAGCTGTTTGAGGCTGCTAGGGCACATGGCAGTGTGCACTTACTAGTTCAATATCTACATTTCAGAGAGTGACTGGGCTGCTGAGGTGTATTCACCAAGGAAGCACCATATGACCATGACAGTTTGGATTCTGAATCAAAACTTATCCTCCCTAGATTGGTGGACAGATCCCGCCAAAGTTTTGTAAGGGAGTTCCCTTTGCCTTGCCTCAACAATCTCTCACTTTAGTCATGGGGGCCTCACACTTAGGTTGGGGGGCTCACTTGGGTCTCATACAGATACAAGGTCTCTGGTCTCCGAAGATCTCAGACTACATATAAATGTCAGGGAATTGAGAGCTACCCAGTTAGCTTTCATGGCATTTCTTCCACACATCAAGGAGAAGGGGCTTGTTGGTTCTGACCAACAATACAAAGGCTGTGTTTTATGTAAACAAGGAGAAGCCCAATCTTCACTGCTGTGTCAGGAAGCGATTCTACTTTGGGACTTCTGCATTACTAACTCTATACTTCTAAAAGCAGCTCTCCTTCCAGGGATCCAGAAAACCCTGCAGACCACCTAAGCAAACTGTGTATCAATCACCATGAGTGGTCCCTTTGTCTGGATATAGCATCTCTATTTTCTAGTTCTGGGGAACTCCCCAAGTGAATCTATTTGCAATAAAACACAACTGGAAGTGCCACTTGTTTTGCTCCCAAGTCGGCCCCAGCCCTGGTTTACTAACAGACTTTTCTACTGATGTGGTTAGACAGTCTTCTGTAACTTTTTCCTCCCATCCCTCGCCTGCCCAGAGTTCTGTGCAAAATCAAACAGGTCAAGGCTAATCTTTTACTCATCGCCATGGCATGTCACCATCCGTACTGGTTCTTGTAGTTGTTAGCCTTGTCAATCGACCCCACATTGTCACTCCTGCTACACGAAGAGTTGATTTCGCCTAATCACAGCCGTCTCCTTCAATCCAGTCTACAGACCCTTCATCTGACAGTCTGGAGGCTTCATAGCTAACATCTACAGAGCCGTCCTGGAAGTGCTTCTAAATAGTCTTGGCTCTTTGAGCTAAGATCAAGTGTCAGTAGTCTCTTGGTCTATCCAAGGTCGTGATCAAGTGTCTTGATGTTTTTGGTCTTTTGGCCTTGAGGTGAAAACCTTGTCTGTGTTTCTGGGACCTTGAAGTGAAAAAATTCTCTAATTTATTTAGCTAAATGAAAGAGGTTCTCCAGCTGGCCCAGAGTGAAAACAGTTTTCCCAGGCCTTGCTTTTATTCAGCATGTTTTGGACTATCTTCTGTCCCTAAAGCATCAAGGGTTAGCAAGTGCATCTCACAGTTGTCTCAGCCTTCCTCCTGCCTATTGATAACCACTCACTTTTTTTTCGAATCTGATGTCCGTTAAATTTCTGAAAGGCTTGGACAGACTTTTTCCACAGGTGCAGGATCCTGTTTCCCCATGGAACTTTAATCTAGTCTTAGTAAAGCCAGTGGGTCCTCCTTTTGCGCCTGTAGTGACCTGCTCTCTTTTGAACCTTTCTATAAAGATTGCATTTCAGGCTATTACGAAATCCACCAGAGTGGGGGAACTGAGGACATTTAGTATCATATACAGTTTTCTTCACAGAGAATCTTCATCCTCACCCAAGGTTTCTTGCTAAGGTGGTTTCCAGTTTTCATTTAACCAGGGTATCTTCTTGCTGACCTTTTTCTCAAAGCCTCATGGCCGTAAGGGTGAGGAGAGGCTTCATAATCTAAACGTTAGAAGAGCGTTATCTTTTTATCTGGACTGCACCAAGCCTTTTTAGGTCTTTGACATAATTGTTCATTGTGTTTGCAGACGGAATAAAAGGCTGTCCACTATCCACTCAAAGGCTCTCACCTTGGATTTCCAGTTGTAGTCACTTATGCTACCAGCTGGCTAATGTGATGCCTCCAGCTAGAGCATTAGGTCATTTAACTAGGTCCCAAGCAGCTTCTGCGGTCTTTCTGGCTCACATTCCTGTACTAGACATTTGCAAAGCAGCAACCTGGTCTTCGTGTCATAAATTTGGCTCTCAACAGTCTAGAGATGATGTCAGATTTGGACAAGTAGTCCTCCAATCCCTGTTCAAATAGACTCCAAGCCCACCTCTGTTTTGGAATTTGGACTGGTAACTTGAACCACAACTAGATATACATGACTAAGCTGAGAAAACATGATCTGGTCACTGTAAAAAATGGTTAGTAAGCTTTCTCTAGCTGTTGTGCTTTGAGATGTTGCACATATCCATTCTACAACCTGCCCTTCTTCCCCTCTCTATCAGAATCTATCTGGTAGTGAGAGGTGTTAGGGCGGCTCTGCCCTTTATGCCTGTGCACTGTGAGAGGCACTGGGGGGTGCTCATGTTGCCCCAACTGATACTGCAAAGGGAAAAACTCTCCAACTGTGCATTGGAGCACACATAGAGCTTCAATAGAACGGACATGTACAATACATCTCAAAGAACAATAGTTATGGAAAGGCTAGTAACCTTTTTTTTTTTAAACAGTAACCAGGTCATTTTCTTCTAGTTAATATCTCATCCTGTAGGCTTCCCTGTTCTTTCTCACAACTCCTTCTCACTGACTGGACTTTCCACTTTTTTCTTGAGCAAAGATGGGGTACCAGAGCAGAGACTTCTCTTCATAAACTCTGATTACTAATTTAAGTCTTCGCAAGGTAGTTTGAAAGGAGAAATGTCCAATCTGTATATGAATGGCATACTGGTGAACATGACTGCTTTCAACCAAATGGGGACAGAGCAGATGTCCGTATGCATTTAAGCATTATATTTGGATTGCAATATAATGATGATGTTGCTTTACTAAATGTATTATTGGTGTAAAATGATGTAATGATGTAAGTTTCCTTTTGGAATGCTCTCCCTTTTGTGTGTGTGGGGGGGTCTAAATATAATCTAGTCTTGTGTATAGGTAGAGAGATCAAGTGTTGTAATTTTTCAGCTATACTGAGCCCAACACCAAAAGTATGAAACTCGGAATACTGTATTTGGCGAACATAATTTACATATCATTTTAAGTAACCTATTTTCTGCAAGCTCCTCCTATATAAAACCAGGCAAGATACTATATCTTGGTCCTTTACCACCATTAAAGAATGGGATTATGGGTATTTTTGCAATGTCTTAATTATCCAGTTACTTGCATATTTTCACAGCTGAGAATCCAAGTGAGCAAGGCCCCACATGTTGGTAGGCCTTAATAAGCCAGCTTCCTTAGAATATTTTCTGTCATCTTGTCAACATTTTTATATATATATTTATATACCCTTGCAAAGGTATTTGAAGTGTGGTGCAAGATCTTACTCTAATACCTTAACTTTAAGGCTTTATTTGTTGAAGGTGAAAAATTGCCATAAATTACTTTTCTTCATGGATTGAAAATCACTTTAGTCAAATAAGATCATTAAAATGTTTCATTAAAAAAAGTAACCTAATCTATCTTTTCAGTCAGAGATGGAGAAGCCCAGGGGTAGAAAGAAAGCAACCATCACAGACTCAGAAGAGAAGTTGGGCATAGATGACCTGAATAAATTGGGGCAGGAACAGAAACTTAGAGGGAGTCAGCGGGGGAGGAAGAGAGCTGCAGTTGTTTCAGAATCTGATGAAGCACAGTGGCCAGAGGAAAAGAGGCTAAAGGAAGATGTATTAGAAAGTGAGGATGAACAAAACAGTCCACCAAAGAAGGGAAGAAGAGGACGACCTCCTAAAGCAGCTAGTGGGGGTACACCAAAGGAAGAACCAGCAGCAAAGACATCTAAAAGGGGCAGAAAAAAAGCAGTGCCCGTAGCATCGGTAGTGGAGGAAGAGGAAGAGGAGGAGGAGGAAGGGCAAAGTGAAAACGTGGAACAGAAGCCAAAAGGCAGGCAATACAGGACACCAAGAAGAGCGCAACAAAGGTGTGTCTCTATTCTTATAAAGTGCATTCTTAAAAAAAAAAACACACCTTGGATATTAATTATAATTTGATATTTTGCAATTTGGGTCTCCCTCAAAACAGAGTAGAACCATCTGAAACTAGTGCAGTTGAATCAACACAGTCTACACCACAGAAAAGACGAGGAAGGCCACCAAAAACACCACCATCACAGCAAAAAAAAGGGTAAGTTCTGAATGTAACATTCTGAATTTTCGTCTAGTCTTCCTATTGAAAGGTCTGGCTTTATCCACTTGGAGACCATCTCAGTGGTTAATATTTTTTATACAAGATGTGCTACAGTCTACAGAGAGTTACTATTCTTGAAGGTCTTAGGGCACGTGGTTTGCCTCACTTCTCCGTAGTTACCTGTAGAACTGTAGGTATCTGAAGCTCAGTCAATATATATGACAGGAGTATGGTGAATAAAGAGGAAGAACGGGAAATATTAGTACATAAGCTAAATTATTATTTAATTGGCATTACAGAGACTAGGTGGAATAAGTTTAATGACTGGAATATTAGTATAGAGCAGGGATGGCCAAACCCTGGCTCATGATCCACATGTGGCTCTTTTACAGTTAAAGTGAGGCTCGCGGAGCCCACCATGCCCCTCCCCCTCCCCCCACACAAACCCCATTCTCCACCTACCAGACTGGCAGGGCTTCTGCCATGCAGCAAGGTGGTGGGGCTTGGGACTTCAGCCCCGCGGGGTAGCCCCAAGCCTTGGCTGGCAGAGCTAAACCCTGAGCACTGGCAGGTGTGCCCAGCTTTTGAAGTTATGAAGATTATCATATGTGGCTCAGACATTCAGCAAGTATGGCCACCCCTGGTATAGAGGGATATAGTTTGTTCAGGAAGGACAGGGAGGGCTGTTGCATCATACAACAAGAATGTATACACTTGTCTGAGGTCCAGAAGAAGGTGAGATTGGTAAAAATTAAAAGGGATCAAAGATGGGTGTGAAATCATGGTTGAGTCTACTGTAGACCACCAAATCAGTACAAGGAGGGGTGGATAAGGCGTTTCTAGAACAAATAACAGAAATAGCCAAAACATAAGACCTTTTAGTAATGTGGGACTTCAACTACACAGACATTGGTTGGAAAAGTTGTATGGCAAAACGCAAAATTTCAAGTAAGTTCTTGGGATGTATTGGGGACAACTTTTTGTTCCAGAAAATGGAGGAAATAACCAGGACAACGGCCATTTTAGACTTGATTCTGACTAACAGGGAGGAATTGGTAGCAAATTTGAAGAAGGAAGGCAATTTGGGTGAAAGTGATCATGAAATGATAGATTTCATGAGTCTAAGGAAAGAAAAAAGGAAAAGCTGCAGAATAAAAACAATGGCAGGGGGGCGCAAAGTGGAATGTAATGTCCCATAGGAAGAAAATCTAAGGGATGAAGGAGTTCACGAGACTTGGCAGTTCCTCAGGTTAAAGTTAGTGTTAAAGGCATAACTGTAAACTATCCCAGTGTGAAGTAAAGATAGGAAGAATAGTAAGAGGCCAATAGGGCTACATAAATAGCTCTATAATGATCTGAAAATCAAAAAAGAATCCTACAAAAAGTGGAAACATAGATGAATTACCAAAGAGGAGTACAAAAGAATAGCACAAGATTGTAGGGACAAAATCAGAAAGGCTAGAGCATGGGACATAAAAGGAAGTAAGAACAAGTTCTTTAAATACATTGCGAGCAAGAGAGACTAAGGAAAGTGTAGGTCCTCTACTTGCCAGGGAAGGAGAGCTAATAACTGATGACATCAAGAAGGCTGACATCAAGAATGGCTGTTTTGCTTCAGTCTTCACTAAAAAGGTGAATACACCTCTACCCCGATATAACGCGACCTGATACAACACGAATTCGGATATAACGCGGTAAAGCAGTGCTCCGGGGGGGCGGGGTTGTGCACTCCAGTGGATCAAAGCAAGTTCAATATAACGCGGTTTCACTTATAACACGGTAAGATTTTTTGGCTCCCGAGGACAGCGTTATATCGAGGTAGAGGTGTATATCAATAAATATATGGAGATATAACTGGAAGGGACCTTGAAAGGTCATCGAGTCCAGTCCCCTGCCTTCACTAGCAGGACCAAGCACTGTCCCTGACTGTTTTTTTTTGTTTTTCCCCAGATCCCTAAATGGCCCCATCAAGGTTTGAACTCTCAATCCTGGGTTTAGCAGGCAGCGAACATAATACCTGTCTTTAAAAGGGGAAAGAAAGCGTACATGGAATTATAGACCAGTGAGCCTGACTTCGATACCTGGGAAGATACTGGAATAAATGATTAAACAATCAGTTTATAATCACCTAGAGAATAATAGTGTTATAAGGAATAGCCAGTATGCATTTGTCAGGAACAAATTATGCCAAGCCAACCTTTTTTGACAGGCTTACTGGCCTGTTGGATAGGAGAGAAACAGTAAACATGGTATATCTGGATTTTTAGCAAGGCTTTTGACACAGTCCCACATGACAGTCTCATAAGCAAACTAGGCAAATGTCGTAAATGTAGGGAAATGAAATTACAGGTGGGTGAGCAACTGGTTGAATGACCATACTCAAAGAGTAGTTATCAATGGTTCACCGTCAAACTGGGAGGATGTATCTAGTGAGGACCTGCAGGGGTGAGTCCTGGGTCTGATACTATTCAGTATTTTTTAAAATGACTTGGATAATGGAGTGGAGAGCATGCATGTGTGGATGACCCCAAACTGGGATGGGTTGCAAGCACTTTGGAGGACAGGATTAGCATTCAAAGGGACTTTGACAAATTGGAGAATTAATATGAAATTCAATAAAGAGAAGTGCAAAGTACTTCACTTAGGAACGAAAAAAACAGATTGCTAAGCGGAAGGGTTCATGCATTTTGGAGGTGGCCACTCGAAATCATGTGGGCAATTGGGGGTTAGTGTTATGCATAAAGGGATTGAAGTGGGCAATTAAGGGTCACAGGCCATGTGATACACCTCAACCCCGATATAACGCTGTCCTCGGGAGCCAAAAAAATCTTGCCACATTATAGGTGAAACCGCGTTATATCGAACTTGCTTTGATCCGCTGGAGCGCGCAGCACACCCCCAACGCTTTACCGCGTTATGTCTGAATTCGTGTTATATCAGATCGCGTTGTGTCGGGGTAGAGGTGTATATTACAAAATGTCGTAATAAGCCATAAACCAGTGATTAAGTCCATGTTTTTTGGTGTCTAGCAAAGTTCCTAAGCATACCTTTTGAAGGTGTTGTGCAGGGTTCCCTTGAGGACAAGTATTGAAAGATCAGATATGGAGTGATTGCTTTGTGAAAAGTGTTCTCCCATGTCTTTCATTTTACCACAAAACCAATGATGTACCTGAGAACCATGAAACCAACAATATAACTGAGATACATCTATCATTTCATAAGGGTTATTGATATGAAAAAAAAAACACCCCTTGGCCTGCAATTTGACTTAAGGTGTTGTGAAGAAAAATATATCAAATTTAAGCTCAACGTAAATAGTCCTAAACGTATTAATGGTCTGGCCTCATAAATATCTTGTACTCCTGATATATTATCCTGGAGTAATTTTGGTTGCAAAATCACTCAGCCTAATAGAATTTCTACCCTCTGGTTACAGATAAAAAGTAAGTGGGCACCTCTGCTATAAGTTTTACAGGAAGCAAATTAAGAACAACTGTTTAAAAGCTAGCTGGAAGTGCTTTTCCATTGCAGAGTTTGTGTGCTTAAAGACCCATGTGCTGTAAAATTAATTTATTGTGATTTTTAATTTTAGCCGTGCTGGACGCACCAAACAAGCAGCAAGTAAAGAAAATGAATCTAGTGAAGAGATGGATATATTTCAGGGCAGTTCTCCTATCAGTGATGACATTCCCCAAGAAGAAGTAATGGAGGAAGAGGAAGTTTCCACGATCAGTGTAAGATACATGTTTGAAATGTGTTCTGTAGATCTATCTGGTACCTCTCTGTATGCCTAATGTTGACGAGCAAAAACTCACTTTTCAGATTCTGATAGTGTATATTTTAGCTCTCAAGATATGGAAAATTCTCACCAGCTCTACTTACAAGTATGAGTGTTTTTTGGTGAAAAATAGGAATTCTGCAAAATTGAAATTTTGTATGGGAAAATTGTCGATTTTTGTCAGACACTTTCAATTTTCCTAAGTTTCCAAAAATTTTGTTTCAAGACCGTATTAATCTCAGCATTTGCCTGAGCTGCTGTGATGCCTCATGGGAGTTGTAATTCATGTGCTTCTTACCTCCATTCGCAGGACACACCAGCCAAACTGCATCTCCCATGATACATCACAGTCATGGAATTCCTATGATGCACCTGGGCCAGAGGGAAGGAGAGTTTGTCAGACATCCTGGGAGTCCTGTGATTGTGGGAGATGTGGTTCAGTTGGGGAACCTAGCCCCTGGGAAAATTGGGGACATGATCTGACCAATAACTCCCATGAAGTATTGCAGTGGCTCAGGCATATGCATATTAATGCCCTGAAATGAAACATTTTGACATTTCTGAATAAAAATTTTCAGAATGTTTTTTTATTCCACTATAAATTTCAACATTTTGACTTTACATCCAGATTTGGGATGAAGACAAATGTTGAAATTCAGAATTTCCCATACAATGGAAATCTTGTTTTTCAATTAGCTGTATGTATGAACTCCTTCAATATAAACCTGTACATCATAAATATTCACATATGTACCTATATTAGTGATGTATATTTTTTAAGTGGGTGTGCTTGTTTGCCTTGTGTGTAAGAGGATGTTTTAAGGTGGTCTTTTCATGATCAATGTCACTAGCTGAATGTCTGAAATATAAGAGTAATAAAATATTTGTGGAATTTAGCTATAGTCCTTTTAACTTCGATTTTTTTAATGGTAACGCTAAAGCATGTATATTTGCATAAGGATTATATTATTTAGGCAACCTTATCTCTAAGTTAACAATTTTTAAATCGTATTTCCTAGTTTTCTGCCAGGAAAAAAAATGAGCCTTAATAGTTAAGATTAGGTATACTGGGGACATCAAGTTCTTCTTCGAGATGTGTTGCTCCTGTCTATTCCACAGTAGGTGTGCATGCTCGCCACGTGCACCAGTGCCAGAAGTTTTTTCCTTAGCAGCATCCGTAGTGGGGGAGCACCGTTGCGACCCCTGGAGTGGCGCCGACATATCGCGCCATAAAGGGGGCTGCATGCTCCCCCCACCCTCAGTTCCTTCTTGCCGCCAGTGAAGGTAGTCGGAACTTGTGCTCCAGCTTTGCTGCAGCAATTCTAGCCTTAGTAGTATCCAGCTTTCCCTGAAGTTACTTGTTGAACTTTTCTCTGTTAGTGCTGGGCTCGGGGCATGCCCCGTGGCCCAGGCTTCAAGTCGTGTGACTCTTGTCGCAATCCTATGCCCAGAAGCGATCCACATACTCAGTGTCTTCGCTGTCTGGGCGAGGCTCACATTAGTGAGAAGTGTAAAATTTGCCGCTCCTTCAAGCCCCGAACAAAGAGGGAGCGTGAGATCCGACTCCGAGCTCTCCTAATGGAGTTGGCGTTGACCCCAGCACCGGCGCATCGAGCCGACCCCGCGCCGGGCACCTCGTCCTCGGCGCGCAGCGAAGCGCCCCCGGTGCGCAGCGAAGCACCCCAGGCGCGCCGTCCTGATTCCGCGCCCGGTACCGCGTCGTCGGTGCGCAGCGAGGCCCCGTCGACGAGCCGGCACCGCTCCCCTTCTAAGAAACAAGAGAAGACTCAGCGGCGCCGGGAGAAAGATCGGGGAGAGGCTAGACCCGTGTTGGGCAGCCCACGATCCCCATCGGGACCGAGACCTCCGACTCGGGTAGAGCGGAGTAGTCCAGTGCCGTCCACGCGCGCCTCGCCAGAGGTGAGAATGCCTTCGACGCCGGAGCAGCTCAGGCTGCGTGCGACGTCATGACACTTCCGGTACCGGGGGCGCCGCTCCAGTCGGGCCCCCGATCCCGTGGGAAGCCTTCGCTCAGTGCCCATCGACCCTCTCCGGACGTCTCTGAGGATACCGTCCCGAGTTGAAGGTCTGAGCCGCGGACATTATACTATTTTTTCATATTTTCATAACAAACCATCTAGCTACTTTAAGGAGCTCAGTAAATTGAACAGAAGTTCTTCTTCAAGTGCTTGCTCATGTTGATTTCATTGTAGGTGTGCACGCGCCCATGTGCGCAGTCATCGGAGATTTTTACCTTAGCGGTATCTGTAGGGCTGGCTATGTCACCCCCTTGAGTGCAGCGCTCATGTACTGGTATATCAAGCGCTGCCGGCCCTATGCACTCTCAGTTCTTTCTTACTGCCTGTGGTGGTCAGTTGGAGTGCCTTTCCTTGGTCGTCAAGGACTTGCAGTTTTCCTTATCGTGGACTTTGTGCCTTTAGGCTTCTACATCGTTATCTTTACTGTTAAGTACCTGTTAAGTGTTGTAGTTAGAGTTGGGTCCCAGTGGGGACTTCGCCCCCAGTGGGGCATGTCCCAGTCTCTGGGCTTTAAGCCCTACAATTCCTGTAACACACCTATGCCTGTTAGCAACCCCCATGGCAGCTGCCTCAAGTGCCTGGGGGAAGCACACGTTAGAGAGGTGCAAGATTTGTAAGAACTTTTTGCCTTGCACCCAGAAGGAGAGGGATATCTGGCTCAGGGCTCTCCTTATGGAATCTGCCTGGCATAAGTCAACCAGCACCTCGACATCAGCGCAAAGTGCACCCCCGGCACCATTCTTCGTCGCTGGTCCCTAAGAAAAGGGCTAAAAAACACAGCTCCCCGGCGCCGATGAAGAAGGTGGCAGTGAGCAAAAGAGCCTGCCCGAGTCGCCCATCCACACTGGAGCCCCACAGTTGACCATCTGCTGCTGAGGCTGTTAGCCCGGGGAAAGGTCCTCCTCTGACTTCAGCGAGTGGTACAGGACCGACTCTCTTGCCGGCACCGACACCTTCATGAACTCCGCCCATACTGACAGCACAACCAGTGCTGCAGGCCTCAACTAAGGCTCCTCAAGCCAGTCGATAAGGTTCCCCAAGGAGCGGTGGAGCACTGCCGATCCCTTGAGACAATGGCGCGCTGTCCACTTCCACACCGATGGACACCAGTACCATCATCTAGATCATCGCAAACTTCTCTTCGGTCTCCAGTGTCGTGGTCGCCCCTGTTGCGATGTGATTTGCCAAGGGAAAAAGCCACCCTTCCCCCTATTATCAAAGTCGGTCACAGTCCCAGAGGTCCTCATCCTGATGCTGTTCCCGGTCACCGATGCCGTGGGAATGATCTCCCTCCCGCTTCCAATCTCCCCGGCACTGCAGCCGCTCGCCGTGCCGTTGATACCGGTCCCCAGGACACCGATCTCCAGTGTCGGTGGTCTTAAGGCAAACTCAGGCCTTGACAGCCCTTCTGTGGTCTCCAGAGGGTGGTTCCTCCGGAACTGAGGGGCGTTTCAGCCCATCACCCCAACCTCAGTGACGAGGTATCCTAGCCAGTGGCGACATCAGGACAGTGATAACCAGGACAGTGGCCTGCTCAGTGGCCATGTTGGAGTACCTGGGGGGTCCAGTCATGGCGTTGCCCCCCTCAGCTCACTCATAGGTCAAAGCCATGTAGCAGTGATCATCGGCACCAGGCCCCGTGCCAGAGACGACCCCGGTGTCCGAAGTTCAGGAGGCTGCACCTACACCTAACTCATCCTCCCCAGCGGAGAAGGAAGAACAAGCCCCCCATCCACGGGTTCAGTATTCCTAGTCATCCCCTGACAAAGCAGTCACTGGGCCCTCCAGTGCCAGCCCTCCTGACGACTTCAAGGACCACCAGACCTTGCTCCGGCAGGTGGCTGACAACCTGGACCTACAGGTGGAGGAGATGGCTGAGGAAGAGGACACTCTTCAGCGTGCTGTCAGCCTTCACCCCATCCGTATTGCACTACCCGTGCATGAGGGGGTCTTGAGAATTGCCAAAGGCATCAGGCAGACACCCTCCCCTTCCCTCCCACCTCAAAGCAGAGGGAGAAGAAGTACTTCATGCTGGCCAAAAGCTTTGAATACCTATATACCCACTCTCCTGGCTCGCTGGTGGTCTCTGCGGCCAATGAGAAAGAGAAGTGGGGCACACCAACTCCACCCCACGAAATAAGGAGGTCAAAAGTTTTGACTTGTTCAGAAGAAAAATTTATTCCACTGCAAGTCTATAATTTCGGGTGGTGAATCACCAGGCCCTCCTGCGCCGCTATATCGTGAAATTTGTGGGGCTCTCTCCATAAACTCAAGGACTCCCTCCCACAGGACTGAGCCCAGGAGTTTGTTACTCTAGTGCAGGAGAGCACCTCGGCGGCCCGCTTTGCTCTTCAGATGGCATGGGACGCGGCGGACTCGGCAGCCAGGGTGGTGGCATCCGTGCCGGTTATGAGGCGCAGCTCCTGGCTTCAGGTCGCTGGTCTCTCCCAGGAGATGCAGACCTCTATCCAAGACCTGCCCTTTGATGGGAGCGGTCTGTTTTCGAAGCAGACTGATGCGAGGCTGCACGGGGTGAAAGACACCAAGGCCCCCCTCCCTTCGTTAGTATCCACACACTTCAGTTGGCGCATAAGCCATTCCGGCCGACCCCCCCATTGAGGTCCTGGCAGTCTCGCCCCGGACCTGCGAGGAGGGACAGGGGCACTGCTTTTAGTTGTTGCCGCCCTTCTACTTCCCGCTCGCCTGTGCAAGCCGGCCAGACCAAGCATTCTGCAGGACAGAAACACTTGTTTTGATGGCACAATCAAGAGTGATGCCCCAGCCAATTCCCTGGGCTGCTACCTTCCTCAACCACCTGTTCCCCTATCGCTTGGCCCGGTTGCGGGTTACGTCAGACCTCTGGGTCCTGGACATAATATCGCGGGGCTATACCCTGCAATTTTTGGCCAACCCTCCCTCCCACCCCCACCACTTCCCCGTCCCTCTAAAGGGACCCTTCTCATGAGCCACTCCTCGTTCAGGAGATCAAGAACCTCCTGTGTCTGGGGGCTGTGGAGGAGGTTTCTCGGGACAAGAAAGGAAAGGGATTCTACTCCCAGTACTTCATAATCCCAAAAGCGAGAGGGGGCCTCAGACCCATCCTGGACCTGTGCTACCTCAACATGTCTCTCAAGAAGTTGAAGTTTTGGATGGTCTCCCTGGCCTCTTATCCCCTCCCTGGATCCGAGAGACTGGTACGCTGCTCTCGACTTGAAGGACACTTACTTCCACATTTCTGTATTCCCAGGCCACAGGCGCTTCCTCCGTTTTGTAGTGGGAGGGCACCATTTCCAGTTCACGGCACTACTCTTTGGCCTCTCTTCAGCCCCGAGGGTTTTTACAAAGTGCATGGTGCTGGTGGCCACTTACCTCAGATGTTGGGGGGGGTGGTCCACCTGTTTCCATATCTCAACGACTGGCTCATCAAGGGCCGGCTCTCCGGATCAGATACAGAGAAGTCTTCACTTGGTGAGCTCCACCTCCTGCGACCTGGGTCTGTTAATAAACACAGAAAAGTCCATGTTCACCCCAGTCCAACGCATAGAGTTCATCGGGGCCGTTCTCGACTCCACACGGGCCAGAGCCTTCCTTGCAGAAGCTTGGTTTCAGGCCATGGCGGACTTGATTTACCAATTAAGGCACCAGCTCACCACAGCCCATATCAGTCTGTATCTGGTGGGGCACATGGCCGCGAGCACATACGTGGTCAGCAATGCTTGACTTCATCTGCGGCCGCTGCAGGTGTGGCTGGCCTCGGTCCGTATCCCCAACAAACAATCCCTTGACTGAGTGGTCACAGTACCGAGCCACATCCTTTCGTCCCTAAGTTGGTAGTTGGACCCCAAGTCGGTGCTTCAGGGGTCCAGACACTTCAGAGCGAACTCAGCACCCAGGGCCGCTGGCTGTGAGACTATCTGGCCCTCCATGTCAATGTCAGGGAACTCAGAGCAGTTCGCCTGGCCTGCCAGGAATTCTTGCCTCACCTGAAAGGCTGACAATACCGCTACGATGTACTACATCAACAGGCAGGGAGGGGCCAGATCCTCAGTCCTCTGTCAGGAGGCGCTCAGCCTATGGGCTTCTGTGTGCGGCATGCCATTCATCTGAATGCTGCCCATCAGCCTGGCTCCAGGAACGTCCTTCCAGATCGTCTCAACACGACCTTCTCGTCTCACCATGAGTGGTCTCTCCATCCGGAGATGGTCAGGTCGATTTTTCCAACAGTTGAGAACTCCCCAGGTGGCCTTGTTCTTGTCCAGGCAGAACAGGAAGTGCCACTAGTTCTGCTCCTTCCAAGATCTGGACAAGGGCTCCCTCTCGGATGCCTTCCTCATTCCGTGGATAGGGGTGCTCATGTATGCCTTTCCACCAATGCTATTGATCCATTGGGTCCTGGTGAAGATCAAACAGGACAGAGCGAGAGTCATCCTTGTGGCCCCGTCAGCATTGGTTCGGCATGCTGTTGGACCTATCGACAGCAGCCCTCCTCCTGCTGTCCTTTCGACCGGATCTGCCGTCGCAGAACCATGGCAACCTGCTGCATCCAAACCTGGTGGTGCACCTGACTGGGTGGCTGAATGCGGAGGAAAGAGCATGTTCGGCCCGCGTTCAGCAGGTGTTGCTCGACAGCAGAAAACCCTCGATCAGGCAACCTACCTGGCGAAGTGGAAAAGGTTCAAGTGCTAGGCCTCGGAGAGGCATGTCTGGGCCAAGCAAGCTTTGCTGTAGGACAGTGATTCCCAAACTGGGGTTCGTGAACCCTTGGGGGTTCTTGAAATGTTACAGGGGGTTCTCAGGAAAAAAATCCCTAATGGCGGACAGAGTTGTCCCTAGGGACCCTGGGGCAGCACAGGGCCAGCAGCCTGGAGTTCCTGGATTTCCAAGAGCTAAGCAGATCAAAGCAAGCATATCTATCACACTGAGGAGATTTAAACTTCAAGACTCCTTATAAGAAATGGAAAGGGAGGTGGATATTTTTTGCTGTTTTTAAAATTAAATAGGCAGCTAGTATAGTTTTTTAAATTATTATGAAGAACAAGTTTAAGCTTTGTTGTAACGTGTGTTGTTTGCCTGGACTGCTCAAGACCTGAATGCTTGTGTAGGAGGATCTCTTGAGTTGGTTTCTAAAATACCTTCATGCTGTTTCACATCTGATACTCCTTGATGAAACATAGGAGCCTTGTCTTATAACAGGCTTATTCAAAGTGATACAAGCTACGAAAGTAAGATCTTGGAAGAGTGTTGCCATTTTCATAATGTAATAAAAATACTGTAATGATAAATAATAATAAATAGTGTGTAATAATCATGTCATAAAAACAAATTTTATATTTCCAAGATCACTGCTTTTATAATTTATACTCCGGTAAAGGAGAAAATCCCTGGAAATATTCATTTTTAGGAGGGGGCTCGCGAGACTTGACATTTTAGTGAAAAGGGTTCACAGGTTGTTGAAGTTTGGGAACCACTGCTGTAGGATATCCTGGATTACTTGTTGCATTTGAAACTCCAAGGGTTGTCCTTTTCCTCCGTCAAAGTCGACCTGGCGGCCATCTCAGCACTGCACCCCCTGGTCCAGGGCAGGTACCTCTTCGCGCATCCTATGATGGTGCGTTCCTTGAAAGGGCTGGAGTGCCTCTACTCACATGTCCAGGAGCTGGTTTTCCCCCCCTGGGACCTGAACCTTGTGCTTTCCAGACCCACGGGTCCTCCCTTCAAACCTTTGGCTTCCTGATCCCTCCTCCTCCTGTCCTGGAAGGTCTCCTTTTTGGTTGCTATAACATCAGCCCATAGGGTGTCAGAGATCATGCACCCTATACATGTTTTTTAATCAAGGACGAGGTGAAGCTACATCCTCACCCGGCGTTTCTGCCCAAGATTGTGTCCCAGTTTCATACTGGCCAGGATATATTTTTACCTGTCCTCTGCCCAAAGCCCCAGGCATCGGATGAGGAACAAAGGCTTCACACCCTGGACGTCAGGTTGGCACTGGCTTTCTACATAGAACAAAACTCTTCCGTAAGTCAATGCAGCTGTTCGTCACGGTGTCGGATAGGATGAAAGGTCACCCTCTGTCCGCACAGAGGATCTCGTCCTGGATCACAGCCTGCATCCATTACTGCTATGAGCTGGCTAAGATACACCCGCCAGTAATTGTAATGGCTCACTTGACTAGGGCAGAGGCATCATCGGCAGCGTTCCCTGTACGGGTGCTGGTGCAAGAAATCTGTCAGGCCGCAACCTGGTGTTCCGTCCACATGTTCATGTCACATTATGCGCTGACCCAGCAATCTAGTGACGATGCTGGCTTTAGCAGAGGTGTGCTACAAACTGCGAAGCTGTGACCGAGCCCACTCCAAAGATTCTGCTTGTGAGTCACCTACAGTGGAATCGGCATGAGCAAGCACTCAAAGAAGAAAAAACGATTACCCACTTTTTCGTAACTGTTGTTCTTCGAGAGGTGTTGCTCATGTCCATTCCATTACCCGCCCTCCGGTCCCTCTCTGCTGGAGTTGTTGGCAAGAAGGAACTGAGAGGGCATAGGGCCAGCAGCGCCCGATATACCAGCACATGAGCATGGCACTCAAGGGGGTGACACAGCCAGCCCTATGGATACCGCTAAGGCAAAAATCTTCGATGCCCGCGCACGTGGGCGCATGCGCACCTACAATGGAATGGACATGAGCAACACATCTTGAACAACAGTTACGAAAGGGTGGGTAACTGTTTTTTCCCCTCTAGTTCCCATTTGTCAAAGAGCTGCTAAGCAATCCCTGAGTACCTGCCTGCTGAGTTTAGAAAGTCTGCAAGAGTCCTTACAGGCCTTAGAAGTTGATGTGGAAAATAGTATTTCTTGCTGGTTAGTAATATTTTCTCAGTTTGCTTCTACAGCATACATTGAAACTGCTATGACAGATAATTCCAATAATTTATTTAAGTTCTGAGATATTACCAGTATCTGTAATTGTGCCAAGTTTAAGGCTTGTTACTTTTATGAATTGTAGGCTTGGCAGATCCAAGGAACATACGTGATACCAAGTTTAAATTTTAAATAGGTATTTTTAGTTCCTTCAAGCTTTAGAAGATTTACTTTTAATTTTCAGAAAATTCAGTCTTTATCTAATTCTTAAGATAGGCAGGAAAGAGTTTTTTGTTTTAAATTCGGGAATGACAGACTAGCATTTTTGTATCTAACCACAGGATTTAATCCCTCATGTAACTGCAAATCTGTGTAAACTGGGGAGCTGCAAACAATACCTCCATACTATAGGCCAGATGAAATTGCAGAAAAGCACAATTTATAAGAATAAAACCCAAAATGCAAAGTCTTGCCCCAAAAACTATTTAACTAGTAGTTTACTATTTGGGCCAATTCCAAGAACTGCCCATCTACAGTTTTTGGTAACTGGTATCTCCCAAAAAGGGGTGGGGTTTGGGGGTTTTTTGTTTTTGTTTTTTGTTTTTTTGGTAATACTAGAAGGAGACAGGCCTAGGGAGCTCCTATAAATATATTATTTCATATCTTATGAAGAACTGTGTAAATTCATTGTCAGTTCTCAACATTTTTCCCATAATGGAATACATTTACACATGAACTTTTTCAAAATAATGTATGTGCAGCTTTTCTTTAAAATAAATAAATTTAATTAAATTAAAAAATTAATTTATAAAATATCAGAGGGGTAGCCAGTCTGGATCTGTAAAAAGCAACAAAGAGTCCTGTGGCACCTTATAGACTAACAGACATATTGGAGCATAAGTGGGTATTCACCCACAAAAGCTTATGCTCCAATACGTCTGTTAGTCTATAAGGTGCCACAGGACACTCTGTTGCAATTTATAAAATGAATCTCTTGACTCTCTCTTCAAATAACAGGTACGTCGCAGAACTTCCAAAAGAGAGAGGCGATGAGGAAGCACGTAATTATCCACGTTCCAAGGTGAAAGCTTTGAAGAATGTTCATAATTTGAAGCTTGAGGCTGAATGAAGCTGTTAGTGCACAAAATGGGGTTGCTGAAGACAAAAACTTACTTTACATTTACTACCCCTACGTTTGCAGTCCCTAGGTCACAAGCTTTAGCCACACACGTTGATATCATTAACTGTGGATTTTTGTGAAGTGTAATGTGCGCTGCCTTTGTAGACATATGAACTAAAGAAGAAAAGTGTAAATAGCCCTTTTTTAATGTTTCTGACTTCTGAAGTGCTTGTATAGCTTTTATCAGTGGCTTTAAACTGACAGTGCCCAACTGTTTATTAGATCTGTTGATTTTAAAAAAAGAAAAAAGTTTTTGTTAGAATGGATCTCAAGCAATATCTGTCAGTGTTCATATTTGTACTCTCCTTGACATTTAACTGTGAAAAAAAAATCAGTTGAATAAATAGTGCCATTTTCTTTTGCCACTATTTGTTGGGGGGGGGAGGGGAGAAAGAAAAGGAATGATCTTTGTTTCCTTTGTATATCTAATCTAGAGTTTACTTCTAAGCACCCACCTGTCATCAAAGTGCTAAATTACTTTCTTTTACCAGTGAATGATGTCCGATAGAATACTACAACATATTCAAATTGTGAAATAAGTTGTCTGATTCACTTTACACCTCAGTATTGATGCCAGGCTTTTCTGGACTTCTAGTGGCATTGAAAATTCAGAAAGGATTTAAAATATTTTAATTTTAAAAATGTGTTATTAAATAATGTACTGAATACCCTATCCATTTTATCTTCCCCTATCAGTTTTTATTAATCTACTGTATCAATAAAATTCTGTAACTGAATGAGTTTTTAATAGTCTAGTATGTTGATGTGTATAGATATTTCCTCCTGAACATTATGTTCACACAGAGCAAATTATTACTACATTATAATATGAAATCTGATATATAAACATTAGTGAAAATACAGTTCTCTTATTACAATGTAAAGTTAATCACAAAGAAAAAAAAATTTTATTGATGCAGTGTGTCTTTATAAAGCTGTTCTTGAGAGCCAAGTGTTTTGTATTTTATAGTGAGTTGCATGTTTATGAAAAATGTGCTGAAAATGGGATGTAATTTTTTTCGGAAACTTCGTATCTAGCAGTAGTATATGGTAGGTTGCTTCATGAGAGCACCTTCTACCAAGAGTTTATTGTACTTATTTTTTGTGAGCCAAATTTTTTTTGGTATGAAGAGCTAAATTGTCATTGAATGACCAGCTGTAGGTCTTTGCAGTCAGGTATTCAAGATTTGAATGAAGCTCGCTTTTATTTAGTGCTACTTTAGAGTTGTTGAATTTTTGTTGTTTGGGTGTAATCTACAAAGAACAGAGATGAAATATGTAAGGCAGTATCCTGTGTGCAGTTTTACAAACTGTCTTTGAACCAAAATGTATAGGTTATTATTTTATGCTTAGCCAAGCACGTTTTTATAATTTCAGGTGCACTTCTCCCTCTGGTTCCTTGCAGTTGACGTGAAAAAGATCAGTTTCTAACTTATTAAATCTTTATCTCATTGAATAATGGAGCATTTTCATATAACCCATCAAAGCATATGTTCTTAAGTTATATTTGCAAGATAGTACATAGAGCATAGGGATGTGAGAGAGAATGATAGTGTTGAAACATGGTTTTACCGATTTCAAGACTACATCATAAGAAATGTGACTGTTTTCTTTTGACTTTTTCAATTTAAAATTTCTGTTCATTGAAATCTTTATTTTCAAAAAGTAGATTATTCTGCCTCTACTTAAGTTTTTCCCAGTATTCAGCTATTCTACAGTTATACCCATGAATATGGGGGAACTGCTGCCCATAAGGGCAGTTAAAGTTGGTTTAAGTGACTGACTTTGAAATTTTCATTAGCACAACTAACCTGAATAGCTTATTTACACTTCAGCAGTGCAAATGCAAGTTTTTTATCCTATAAAATAAAATTTGAAAGTTAACTTTATATTTTCTTCATTGACAGAATTGCACTGAAAACATTTATGGAAGATATGTCTTTAAGTCCATTTTATACAAAATATGAAAAATTGGTGTTGAAAATGCTGCAGGCTGTTGGTTATATGTCCATAAGCATGATTAGATCAAATTTCATTGAATATAGATGTACAACAACTGATCATAAAATATGATTAATGTAAATTTAAACTATAGTTTTGCAATTTAAATGTTTATTTTTTGGGTTATGGCGTGTAATTCATTATTACAATGGAAAACAGGTGCAGCAGATATGACATTCTGATATTCAAACCTCTTCTAGGTTCATCCTCATCTCCACATATAAGTAAAATGAATATTTTATGTACTAATATTGAGATCTGCATACAGTAGCTACAGTAGAGTAAAATAATTATGTATAAAAATATAAATTGCTAACACTTAGTTAGCATGTTCTTCTGCAATGATAATGTTCAGTTTATAAAAATGTACTGTATTACATTAAAAAATCAAATTGAACTCACTGTAACAAGTTCCAGTATGAAGTTCTTACAAAATTACAGTGAGTATCTTGCTGTATCCTGCAGCAAATTAAGCTAATCTTCGTTATATTTCATATTCTTGCTGCAGTCCAACAGGAAACTTTCCATGCGCTTCACTTTATATGTAAAATACATGCAGTGACTGTAACTCTTCTCTAGCTGTTAAAGGTTAATTTACTTCTGACTCCATAAGCTTGGTTTTTGACACTTCTTCCTTGTTTCCACCACCACCTCTGAGAATGTGAATATTAAGGGCTCTTCTTAATGCTACTCATAAATAGGGAAATATATGAAACTGCTTGCTTGACAGTTGTATCTGAATAATCTACCCACAAAATTAGATAATCTTTAGCTATACATTAATCATAAAATCATAGAAGGCTGGGGGAGGGACCTTCAGAGGTCATCTAGTCTATCCCTCTGGACTGAAGTAGAACCAAGTATGCCTAGACCATACCTGACCGGTTCTTGTCTAGCCTGATCTTAAACATTTCCAGTAATGGGTATTCCACAACCTCCTTGGTTACTTATTCCATTACTTAACTATCCTTATCGTTAGAAAGTGTTTCATAATATCTAACCTAAATCTCTCTTGCAACAGATTAAGCCCATTACTTCTTGTCCTACCTTCAGTGGAATGGAGTTCACATCCTCTTTATAACAGTCATTAACAAATTTGAACATTGGTATCAGGTCTCCCCTCAGTCTTTTATTCTCAAGACTACACATACCCAATTTAACCTTTCCTCATAGGTCAGGTTTTCATATTTGTTGTTCACCTTTGAACTCTCTCCAATTTATCCACACCCTTAGTGTGGCGCCCAAAACTGGACACGCTACTCCAACTGAGGCGTCACTAGGCCCAAGTAGAATGGAACAATTACCTCCCATGTCTTAGGTCATGTCTACACCACAGCATCACGCCTCCGAGGCTGCACCGTAGATGATTCCTACATCATGGAAGGATTTTATTCTTTCTGTGTCGGTAATCATCCTCTCCAAGAGGTTGTAGCCAGGTTGACAGAAGAATTCTTCTGTCAATCTGGCTGTCTCTACAGTGGTGGTACGGTCAATCTAACTAACTATGTCACATAAGGCATGACATTTTTACTTCCTTGAGCGATATTGCTAGCTTGCTGTAATTTTTAGTTTTAGACCAGGCCTGTCATATGACACTCCTTTTAATATGCTCCAGAATAATATTAGCCTTTTTCATAGTTCAGACATATTGTTGGCTCATATTCAATTTGTGATCCACTATAATCCCAAGATTCTTTTCTGCAGTACTACAGCTTAGTCAGTTATTCCTCATTTTGTAGTTGTGCATTTGATTTTTCCTTCCTAAATGTAGGACTTTGAACTCATTTTTATTGAATTTCATTCTGTTGATTTCAGACCAGTTCTCCAATTTATCAAGGTCTGAACCCTGTCCTCCAAAGTGCTTGCAACCCTTCCCAGTTTGGGGTTATACTTGCATTTTATAAGCATACTCTCCACTCCATTACACAAGTCATTAAAGAAAATACTGAATAGTACCAGACCCAGATTAGAACCTTGCAGGACCCCACTAGATATGTCCTCCCTGTCTTACAGCAAACCATTTTAACTACTTGTTGAGTACAGTCGTTGAACCAGTTTTGTGGCCCTTTAGAGTAATTTCATCTAGATCACATTTCTCTAGTTTGCTTATGAGAATGTCATGTGGGTCTGTGTCAAAAACCTTACTAAAATCATAAGAATGGCCATACTGGGTCAGACCAGAGGTCCATCTACCCCAGTACCATGTCTTCTGACAGTGGCCACTGCCAGGTGCCCCAGAGGGAATGAACAGAACAGGTAGTCATCAAGTGATCCATTCCCTGTTGCCCATTCCCAGCTTCTGGCAAACAGAAGCTAGGGACACCCTCCTGGCTAATAGCCATTGATGGACCTATCCTACATGAATTTATGTAGTTCTTTTTTGAAGAATAGCAAGATATTTCATGTCTACAGCTTCCCCCCCCAATCCACGAGGCCAGTAACCCTACCAAAGAAGGAAATTAGCTTGGTTTGACATGATTTGTTCTTGAAAAATCCATGTTGGCTATTACTTATCACCCTGACCCGGTGCTCTGTGCTGCGCGGTGGCGTGGCTGGCTCCAGCCGGGCGGCACGGCTATAGCGCTGCCAGCCACCAGTGCTCCAGGCAAAGCGGTAAGGGGGCAGGGAGCGGGGGAGTTGGATAGAGGGCAGGGAAGTTCAGGGAGGTGGACAGGGGTGTGGATGGGGTCGGGGCGGTCAGAGGGCGGGGAACGGGGGGATTGAATGGGGGCAGGGGTCCCGGGGGGGTGGGGCAGTCAAGAATGAGAAGAGGGGTTGGATGGGGCAGTGGGGGGGCAGTCAGGGGCAGGGGTTCCAGAGGCAGTCGGGACAGGGAGAAGGGGTGGTTGGATGGGGCAGGGGTCCCTTGGGGGCAGTCAGGAAGGAGGGGGGGTTGGATGGGATGGCGGGGGGCAGTTAGGGGACAGGGAGAAGGGGTGGTTGAATGGGGCAGGTGTCCTGGGTGGGGCCATCAGGAATGAGAGGAGGGGTTGGATGAGGTGGTGGGGGGCAGTCAGGGGCAGAGGTTCTGGGGGCAGTCAGGGGACAGGGAGCGGGGGTGGATGGGGCAGGGGTCCTGGGGGGGCCGTCAGGGAACAGGGGGTTGGATGGGGCAGGAGTCCCGGGGGGGGGGGGGACACCGGGCCATGACCCCCTCCCCTAACCAGCCCTCTATACAATTTCCAAAACCCGATGTGGTCCTCAGGCCAAAAAGTTTGCCCGTCCCAGCTCTAGGTGTTAGATTGTTCCAGTATTTTCCCAGATATTGACGTTCTTCAAGATAATTGCTAGTGGTTCCAAAATTGCTTCAGCAAGTTCCTTAAGTACCCTAACACACGCAATTGTGAGCCTCTGCATAAAGATGGCCTTTGAAAATCTGGCCCGCTTTTTTCTAAGCTCTCTACATATTAATTCATATTTGAATCTCACATTTTACCTTTCATAACAAAATATTGAACCATTTTTCAAGCATATGACTCTTACTGTTTTGAAGTTTTTCTATTAGTAGAAACATTTAAATAATAATTTACAAAAGGAGGAGTCACCAATGCTGAAGAAATTTCCATTAAATACTAATATGTCCTGTTTGTAACTAAAATGCAACAAACTTAGAGGTGAAGTATTAACACTTGTGTAATATCTTTCATTGTGAGGATCTTGTGAGGATCTCAAAACAGTTCACAAAGAGGTTGAAATATTATCGCTATTAAGATTTAGGATTTAAATTGCTTTATGGGATAGCTTATCAAAATCTGTCTCCATGAATGCACACTGTAAATTTTAGGGGTCTGATCCTGCAAACTCATATGCATAAGTTTTGCAGGATTGGGATTTAACATATGTACTCTTTTCAGCAACCAACTCCATTAAAATACTTTAACTATTATAACACTCGCACACAAGTCTGTCTTTAAGAAGTGTGTATACCTAAGTGTGCACAATTGCGAGCCTGTGCGTGCATCCGGCCTTTGAAAATCTGGCCATTTGTTTTCAAAGCTTTAGGCAGATTAATTCAACTTCACATCAGTGAGCTGGTAGGTATTGTAAGTATTTTATCCATTTTTCAACTAGGGAAACTGAGGTAGATGTTGAGACACTTGTTCAAGGCAACACAGTGAGTCATGAGTAGAATGAGCACCTGACTACTATCCTGTAGATCTCACTCTCATTATCCCTGTTTTACAGATATGAGGCATAGAGAGGTTCAAATAACTTAAACACGGCCACACATTGAGTCAGCAGCAGAATGAAGAATAGAACTCAACTCTTCACCCTTGTTGTAGGCAGGCTGGCACTCTCTTGTCTCATTACCCTTAATGGACATCACATGCACAAAGACCCTGTCTATACTAGGAAAATTCTACCTTTAATTTAGATGCAACTCTCCTCTTGGTAGCAAAGGTGGATGCTATAATGTAAGCAGAGCATGTGTTTATACTGCTGTATCCAAAGGATTACACAACATGCTGTTAAAACAAATGCTCTTTTATCTACAGTAGAGCATCCACTCTTATTATGACCAGTGAAGAATGCAAATCTGAATTTTACCAATTGTAGGTGCAAGCATAACAAAAACAGTAGAACCCAAACAATTTATTCTTAAACTTTGATTCAAATCCTTCCATCTAAAAGTTCTGACTTCCGTCTAATCAGTTGACTAAGTGCCATTAACAAATTTGTGAGCAGCAGAGGGTAAATACATGTGCATTAGTTATTGTATATTAAATATCCCATATAAGTAGCAACTAAAACAAAGCATCTGATGTTGCAAATCAATGCCTCACTACAAGTATTCAGTCTTGTTTTTAATACACATTCGTTTAAATAATTAGCATGTATATTCTTTGGCAGCTGCTATATATTGTCCTTTGTATCCATATGCTCTGGATTTTTTTCTGAAATAAAAATAGATTTTTCACAAATCCATACTCTGACATTTCAGAAATCATGCAGTACAACTTTGGAATTGATTTTAACATGCATAAAGTACAGTATCTCACAGGTATTTTATTGGGTTACTTTTATTTTCTGATATTTTGTATTAAACTTTAAATGTAGGTAGACACTTAAAGAACCGTATTTTGAAAACCTAAGCAGTGTTATTGAATGCATTTCTTGTATTTC